CTACCGTTGGTCCGGTCGGCAAGTGGTGCATGCGACGCATGGTCAAGGTTGGAAGACCACTTCGAGAAGAAGAGTCTTGCCAACAAGCTGTTCTTGCGCCGTCGCTTCTTCACGACAATGATGGAAGAAGGCGACGATGTGCTCGAACACATCAACAAGCTCAAGACGCTGGCGGAACAGCTAGAAGCGGTGGGGGCTCCAGTATGCGAGGACGATCTGGTGATCACACTTCTCGGCAGCCTGAGTGACTCGTATCAATTCTTGATCACAGCTTTGGAGTCGCGCTCAGACACTCTTAGCTGGGAGCTCGTGACGTCTCGACTGCTTCATGAAGAAATGAAGCGGAAGGAGCAAGGAAGTAAAGGTGATGAAGCTTCGCAAGGTCAAGCGTTCATCACAAGGGACAATCAGCGCAAAGGGCGACCAGTGAAGAAGTCCTGGCTGTGCCACAATTGCGGAAAGATTGGTCACTGGATGGCGGAGTGCCCCTCGCGCATCCAAGAAAACACGGAGAGACACCGGCCACAGCGTGCTCAAGACAGCGGCGACCGCTATCGATCACAACGTGCAAACGTCGCTCAAGAAGAAGACTCGGGCGACTACCTCTTTTCGATCGGTGAAACGACATCTGCGAAATCAAGCGACATCTGGCTGGTCGACTCCGGGGCGACGCAGCACATGACGTGCTCCAAGAAGTTCATGCGGAACTACAAGGGGTTTGACGCTGTGGATGTCCATCTCGCGGATGATGGAATCGTCCAAGAAATCGGCAGTGGGGACATTGTCATGTCGATGAAGACACCCCAAGGGATGAATAAAGGTGTGCTCACAAACGTGTGGCACATCCCAAAGTTATCCAGAAACCTGTTCTCGGTCGGCCGCTTCACCAAGGATGTCGGCCCAGTGACGTTCACGAAGGATGGGTGCTATGGAGAAGCGAAAGGGACCAAGTTGAAAATTGGTGCCCGTGAAGGTAAAGGACTGTTCAAGCTGCAAATGACTCCAGTGGCGCCGGAACAAGCAAATGCAGCCAAGTCGTCGGGATGTCAAGGGGGCACCAAGTCGTACCTCTGGCACCTTCGGCTTGGCCACATAGGTCACGATGGACTCAATTGCATCGTGACGAAGAACATTGGAATTGGCATCGACATATCTTCGGTGAAGAAGTGGGACGTGTGTGAAGGTTGTGCTCTGGGAAAACAGACTCGAGTGCGCTTCCAATCAAACACTACAGCTCGCACCTCCAAACTCCTCGAAGTGATTCACAGCGACGTATGCGGACCGATGTCGATGGCAACTTTCAGTGGAAAACGGTACTTCGTGACATTCATCGATGACAAGTCAAGATACTGTGTCGTCTATCTGCTCAAGAGCAAATCTGAAGTTGCGGCGAAGTTCATGGAATACGCTGCGATGGCCGAAACGCAAACCGGAAAGCGCGTGAAGTACCTTCAAAGCGACAATGGGGGTGAATACAAGTCCGACAAGCTGGCACGATTCTGCGCGGAACGGGGAATACAACAAAGGTTCACACCCCCATATACTCCTCAGCTAAACGGAGTAGCTGAGAGAATGAATCGCACGCTGGTCGAGTGTGCGCGTTGCATGATGGAACACGCTGGACTGGGAAAGAGCTACTGGGGTGAAGCAGTGATGACGGCGATGTTTCTTCGAAACCGCTGTCCAACACGTGCCATTCACCAAGACAAGTCTCCATATCAAGTGTGGACGATGAAGAAACCGATTCTGGCCAACCTTAAAGTGTTTGGATGCCACGCGTATGTTCAAGTGCCTCAAGACAAACGCGCGAAGTTCGACTCCAAGTCATCACTCTGTCGTTTCCTGGGATACGCCGAACACCAGAAGTCATATCGATTTGAGGAAGTGTCAACAGGAGCGATCAAGATCAGTCGCGATGCCACATTCATGGAAGACAAGTTTGATGAAGGTCCGCGCTGATGAACTTTAGACTTCTTGGTCCGAGTGCAAAACGCAAAGTGAATATATATTTATAATAGGTACTTAGTTCGCAACTTTGAATACTACCTCTAAGCCTATTATTCGCAGTGACGTCATCCAGTGACGTCACCCACTGACGTCACCCACTGACGTCATGCAATGACGTCATCCAGTGACGTCATTTCCTGACTTCGCCCTTACTGGTACATACCGGTACCCACCGGTATAGCGAAGCTTGGTCTTCCACTTGCTTCAACACTTGACGCAGCTTGACGAGGTGTCTTCTTCACAGCCGCTGTCTTTTCAACACTCCCTCTCGACTCGTTAGCTGCGGCACCTTGGATCCCAAGTCGATCGCGAATGTTTTCAAATTGTACAGCGGCGATCGGCTTGGTCATCATGTCTGCCAGCATATCTTGAGTCGGGCAATACTCCAAAACGACTTCACCTGATTCCACCTTCTCACGCACAAAATGGTAGCGTATGTCGATGTGTTTTGTTCTCTTATGGAACTCCGGGTTCTTGGCGAGAGCGATTGATCCTTGGTTGTCTTCATACATCTTGATCGCTTCGTCGCTTGTCATCTCACCAAGTTCCCCCAAAAGCACCTTGAGCCATACTGCTTCTTTGGTTGCTTCGGAAAGCGCCATGTATTCTGCTTCTGTTGAAGATAGCGCGACCGTCCGTTGTTTCTGGCTTTTCCAGCTGATGCATCCTCCGCTCATCATGAACACATAGCCGCTTGTACTTCGTCTTGACTCAATGTCGCCGGCCCAGTCTGCGTCGGTGTACCCGCAGATACGGCTTCCTTCTTCACGTGTAAACTCAAGACCATGATTGGGCGTTGCTTGTAGGTATCTCAGCACACGCTTCAAAGCTTGCCAGTGAGTCGGGCATGGGTCGGACGAGAACTGGGATAATGATCCCACTGCAGCAGCTAGATCCGGACGTGTGGCGACCATGAGATACATGATGCCTCCGACAGCACTTCGATATGGCACGTTGCACATGGTGTCTTCGTGCTTGCATTCTTGTTCACACATGTTCTTGGTTAGCTTCAGGCCGGGATCTTGAGGCGTCTTCACTGGCTTGCTGTTATCCATTCCGAACTTGGTTAACACGGACTTGAGAAACTTGGTTTGTTGTACAGTCACCATTCCCGTCTTACGGTCGTTCTTGATCTCCATGCCGAGAAAGTAATCGAGCTCACCGAGATCCGTCATTTCGAAGCGTTTGCTCAGCGCCATCTTGGTCGACTTGAGGAGTTCGTTGTTGCTGCTGGCCAGGATGAGATCATCGACGTAGAGCACCACGAGAATCATGTCTTGGTCGTCTCGCTTGATGTAGATGCAGTGGTCCGATTCGCACTTCTTGAATCCCATCTTGATCATGAACCCATCGATTGTTTGGTTCCACATGCGAGGCGATTGCTTCAAGCCGTAGAGTGATCTCTTTAGCTTGCACACATAGTCCGGCTGTGTTGCATCCAGGTATCCGTCCGGCTGGTCCATGTAGATGTCTTCGTTGAGGGAGCCGTTAAGAAACGCTGTCTTGACGTCCATCTGATGTAGCATTAGGCCGTACTTAGCCGCCATACTGAGCACCACACGAATCGATGTGAACTTGGCCACCGGTGCGAAAGTTTCTTCATAGTCAACTCCGAATTTCTGTGAGAATCCTTTGGCCACAAGTCTTGCCTTGAAACGTTCAACTTCGCCATCTTGATTCTCCTTTACACGAAAAACCCATCGGCACCCGATGGCCTTGCGACCTTTCGGAAGAGGCACGATTTCCCACGTGTCGTTTCTCTGAAGCGAATCGAACTCCGAGTCACACGCTTCTTTCCACTTGCCGGAGTCGCTTGATTCCATCGCCGACTTGAATGTAGTCGGCGTTTCCCCCACTGAATCAACGATGTAGGCTGCTTCAAAATCCATTGCAGCCGCTGACACATGCTCAAGCGACGGACCTCTGTATGTTCTTCGCTTGGGACTTGGAATGACGGTAGCTTTCTCAAGTGATTGAGTGCGCGTGTGTCTCTTGATGTTGCTCTTCGAAGACCTGGTGTCTTCGTTGTCATCGTCGCTCGAGTCCATGTCGTCGCCAGTTTTACCTTCTTCTTTTTCTTCGTCCTCATCATGATCATCAAACTCAACGACACTTGACTCATCGTTGTAGTTGCGCGTACCTTCATCAAACTTGTCTTCCATGAATGTGGCATCGCGACTGATCTTGATCGCTCCTGTTGACACTTCCTCAAATCGATATGACTTCTGGTGTTCGGCGTATCCCAGGAAACGACAGAGTGATGACTTGGAGTCGAACTTCGCGCGTTTGTCTTGAGGCACTTGAACATACGCGTGGCATCCAAACACTTTAAGGTTGGCCAGAATCGGTTTCTTCATCGTCCACACTTGATATGGAGACTTGTCTTGGTGAATGGCACGTGTTGGACAGCGGTTTCGAAGAAACATCGCCGTCATCACTGCTTCACCCCAGTAGCTCTTTCCCAGTCCAGCGTGTTCCATCATGCAACGCGCACACTCGACCAGCGTGCGATTCATTCTCTCAGCTACTCCGTTTAGCTGAGGGAGTATATGGGGGTGTGAACCTTTGTTGTATTCCCCGTTCCGCGCAGAATCGTGCCAGCTTGTCGGACTTGTATTCACCCCCATTGTCGCTTTGAAGGTACTTCACGCGCTTTCCGGTTTGCGTTTCGGCCATCGCAGCGTATTCCATGAACTTCGCCGCAACTTCAGATTTGCTCTTGAGCAGATAGACGACACAGTATCTTGACTTGTCATCGATGAATGTCACGAAGTACCGTTTTCCACTGAAAGTTGCCATCGACATCGGTCCGCATACGTCGCTGTGAATCACTTCGAGGAGTTTGGAGGTGCGAGCTGTAGTGTTTGATTGGAAGCGCACTCGAGTCTGTTTTCCCAGAGCACAACCTTCACACACGTCCCACTTCTTCACCGAAGATATGTCGATGCCAATTCCAATGTTCTTCGTCACGATGCAATTGAGTCCATCGTGACCTATGTGTGGCCAAGCCGAAGGTGCCAGAGGTACGACTTGGTGCCCCCTTGACATCCCGACGACTTGGCTGCATTTGCTTGTTCCGGCGCCACTGGAGTCATTTGCAGCTTGAACAGTCCTTTACCTTCACGGGCACCAATTTTCCACTTGGTCCCTTTCGCTTCTCCATAGCACCCATCCTTCGTGAACGTCACTGGGCCGACATCCTTGGTGAAGCGGCCGACCGAGAACAGGTTTCTGGATAACTTTGGGATGTGCCACACGTTTGTGAGCACACCTTTCTTCATCCCTTGGGGTGTCTTCATCGACATGACAATGTCCCCACTGCCGATTGCTTGGACGATTCCATCATCCGCGAGATGGACATCCACAGCGTCAAACCCCTTGTAGTTCCGCATGAACTTCTTGGAGCACGTCATGTGCTGCGTCGCCCCGGAGTCGACCAGCCAGATGTCGCTCGATTTCGCAGATGTCGTTTCACCGATCGAAAAGAGGTAGTCGCCCGAGTCTTCTTCTTGAGCGACGTTTGCACGTTGTGATCGATAGCGGTCGCCGCTGTCTTGAGCACGCTGTGGCCGGTGTCTCTCCGTGTTTTCTTGGATGCGCGAGGGGCACTCCGCCATCCAGTGACCAATCTTTCCGCAATTGTGGCACGGCCAGGACTTCTTCACTGGTCGCCCTTTGCGCTGATTGTCCCTTGTGATGAACGCTTGACCTTGCGAAGCTTCATCACCTTTAATTCCTTGCTCCTTCCGCTTCATTTCTTCATGAAGCAGTCGAGACGTCACGAGCTCCCAGCTAAGAGTGTCTGAGCGCGACTCCAAAGCTGTGATCAAGAATTGATACGAGTCACTCAGGCTGCCGAGGAGTGTGATCACCAGATCGTCCTCGCAGACTGGAGCCCCCACCGCTTCTAGCTGTTCCGCCAGCGTCTTGAGCTTGTTGATGTGTTCGAGCACATCGTCGCCTTCTTCCATCATTGTCGTGAAGAAGCGACGGCGCAAGAACAGCTTGTTGGCAAGACTCTTCTTCTCGAAGTGGTCTTCCAACCTTGACCATGCGTCGCATGCACCACTTGCCGACCGGACCAACGGTAGCTGGGAATCTTCCATGGCTAGACAGATCACTGCCATCGCCTTTCTTGACTTCCTCTTGTACGTCGCTTGGTCCAACTGAGTCTCGCACTGTTCCGCCTTGATCTCACCGCTGACGACCTCCCATAGGTCCCGTTCCTCCAGCACCATCTGCATCTTGAACTTCCAGGCGTGGAAGTTAGTTCCATCGAACTTGGAGATGCGGAGGGAGGGAGGCGTCCATGGCAGCTAAGCTTGAATTGTTGGCGGTTTCAGAGTCTGACGAACTTGGGCTCATAACCTGATGAACTTTAGACTTCTTGGTCCGAGTGCAAAACGCAAAGTGAATATATATTTGTAATAGGTACTTAGTTCGCAACTTTGAATACTACCTCTAAGCCTATTATTCGCAGTGACGTCATCCAGTAACGTCACCCACTGAAGTCACCCACTGACGTCATCCAATGACGTCATTTCCTGACTTCGCCCTTACTGGTACATACCGGTACCCACCGGTATAGCGAAGCTTGGTCTTCCACTTGCTTCAACACTTGACGCAGCTTGACGAGGTGTCTTCTTCACAGCCGCTGTCTTTTCAACACGCGCAACTACAACGATGAGTCAAGTGCCGTTGAGTTTGATGATCAAGACGGGGACGAAGAAAAAGAAGAAGGTAAAACTGACGACGACATGGACTCGAGCGACGATGACAACGAAGACACCAGGTCTTCGAAGAGCAACATCAAGAGACACACGCGCACTCAATCACTTGAGAAAGCTACCGTCATTCCAAGTCCCAAGCGAAGAACGTACAGAGGTCCGTCGCTTGAGCATGTGTCAGCGGCTGCAATGGATTTTGAAGCAGCCTACATCGTTGATTCAGTGGGGGAAACGCCGACTACATTCAAGTCGGCGATGGAATCAAGCGACTCCGGCAAGTGGAAAGAAGCGTGTGACTCGGAGTTCGACTCGCTTCAGAGAAACGACACGTGGGAAATCGTGCCTCTTCCGAAAGGTCGCAAGGCCATCGGGTGCCGATGGGTTTTTCGTGTAAAGGAGAATCAAGATGGCAAAGTTGAACGTTTCAAGGCAAGACTTGTGGCCAAAGGATTCTCACAGAAATTCGGAGTTGACTATGAAGAAACTTTCGCACCGGTGGCCAAGTTCACATCGATTCGTGTGGTGCTCAGTATGGCGGCCAAGTACGGCCTAATGCTACATCAGATGGACGTCAAGACAGCGTTTCTTAACGGCTCCCTCAACGAAGACATCTACATGGACCAGCCGGACGGATACCTGGATGCAACACAGCCGGACTATGTGTGCAAGCTAAAGAGATCACTCTACGGCTTGAAGCAATCGCCTCGCATGTGGAACCAAACAATCGATGGGTTCATGATCAAGATGGGATTCAAGAAGTGCGAATCGGACCACTGCATCTACATCAAGCGAGACGACCAAGACATGATTCTCGTGGTGCTCTACGTCGATGATCTCATCCTGGCCAGCAGCAACAACGAACTCCTCAAGTCGACCAAGATGGCGCTGAGCAAACGCTTCGAAATGACGGATATCGGTGAGCTCGATTACTTTCTCGGCATGGAGATCAAGAACGACCGTAAGACGGGAATGGTGACTGTGCAACAAACCAAGTTTCTCAAGTCCGTGTTAACCAAGTTCGGAATGGATAACAGCAAGCCAGTGAAGACGCCTCAAGATCCCGGCCTGAAGCTAACCAAGAACATGTGTGAACAAGAATGCAAGCACGAAGACACCATGTGCAACGTGCCATATCGAAGTGCTGTCGGAGGCATCATGTATCTCATGGTCGCCACACGTCCGGATCTAGCTGCTGCAGTGGGATCATTATCCCAGTTCTCGTCCGACCCATGCCCGACTCACTGGCAAGCTTTGAAGCGTGTGCTGAGATACCTGCAAGCAACGCCCAATCATGGTCTTGAGTTTACACGTGAAGAAGGAAGCCGTATCTGCGGGTACACCGACGCAGACTGGGCCGGCGACATTGAGTCAAGACGAAGTACAAGCGGCTATGTGTTCATGATGAACGGAGGATGCATCAGCTGGAAAATCCAGAAACAACGGACGGTCGCGCTATCTTCAACAGAAGCAGAATACATGGCGCTTTCCGAAGCAACCAAAGAAGCAGTATGGCTCAAGGTGCTTTTGGGGGAACTTGGTGAGATGACAAGCGACGAAGCGATCAAGATGTATGAAGACAACCAAGGATCAATCGCTCTCGCCAAGAACCCGGAGTTCCATAAGAGAACAAAACACATCGACATACGCTACCATTTTGTGCGTGAGAAGGTGGAATCAGGTGAAGTCGTTTTGGAGTATTGCCCGACTCAAGATATGCTGGCAGACATGATGACTGTTGACGGTCATCGGTTTCTACCAGTATTGGTAACCGTGACCGGTCCAATCCGAACCGCCTGTTCAGCTTAGTATTTACGACGTAGTTCTTACGGTAATTACCATAGTTGATTAGACGCGTAGGATGATGAGACGCTTCACATGATTTATATGTGCACCACATATAAATCATGTAGTAAGTAGTAAGCCCCGATAATCAATCACTTTCCAATCTTCCATCTACCCCAAGTGTCTTCTCCGGTCTTCCGAGTGGACTCTCAGCATCCCTCCCAGTTTCGGTCGTCAAGCTCTTCATAATTCAACAGGTTATGAGCCCAAGCACGATGTCCTCTGCCCATGATGCCACCACCAAGATCTCCATCGACAAGTTCGACGGCGACAACTACGCGACGTGGAGCCGCTACATGCGTGGCGTGTTCCTGACCAAGTCGGCGTGGCACGTGGTGAACCGGGGAGACCACCCCCACCTTCGCCGATCCTCGCGCCAGTGACGACTACGTCAAGACGAACAACATTGCGTTCGGCTTGATGCTGCTGCACATGAGCGCAGATTATCATCACGTGGTTGATGACTGTGAAGAGGCGTGGGTCGCGTGGGCGCGTTTGAAGACGCTGTACGGCGGGTCGCAGAAGGCTGGACGCATCTACTTGAAGCGCCAGCTGTTCAGCATGGAGATGGCGGAAGGCGGCAATGTGATGCATCATTGCAACGAAGTCCTCAACATCAGCGCGAAGCTCAGCAGCATCGGCGCCAAGATGGAGGACGAGGACGTGGCGATCTGCTTGTTGCGCAGCCTCCCCAAGAGCTACGAGAACGTCGTTCTCAACTTGGAGATGAGCAGCGCGGAACTGCGATCGCGAGACGTCGTGAGAGTGCTCACGAATGAGCACATCAAGAGGCAAGGTGACAAGACGACATCGGTGAAGACTGAAGACGCGGCGAAGGCGTTCAGTACCGAGCGTGAACCTCGCCAGTGTACATACTGCGGAAAATTGGGGCACACGGCGGAGCGGTGCTGGACCAAGCAGAAGGACGAGAATCAAGGTGGAGCTCGACGCGGCGGCAACAATGCTCGTGGACGCGGAGCCAGCAACGTTCAGTGGCGAACCAACAGCAACTACGACGACAACCTCGATCGAGTTGCGTTCGCAGTTTCGCTGGAGGCCGGACTTTCGACGGGCAAGAATATGCCAGGGATGTGGGCAGTCGACAGCGGTGCGACGCATCACATCTGCAACGACAAGGCCAAGTTTGCAAGCCTGAATGAGCGAGAGGAAGGCGAACTATCAGTGGCTGATGGCAGCAAGGCTGCGATCAAGGGTGTGGGAACCATCATGGAACGGGTGGTTCTGCCCAATGGTGACGAACGCGACATCGAGATCAAGGACGCGCTGTTCGTACCAAGCATGAGCAAGAATCTGCTTTCGGTGCCACAGATCAACAAGGGTGGGAGGTTCCAAGTCGTGTTCGATGGATCCAAGATGCAAGTGAAGCGCAAGAATTCCACACAAGTCGTGGCAACAGCGGATCTCGTCGATGGACTTTACTGGCTGCGGACTCCTCAACGATCGGTAAATGCAGCAACACGCAATGGGACCATCGACTTGCATGCGCGCATGGGTCATGCACCCCCTCGAAGTTCTGCGCAAGATGGTGGCCACTGGCATGATCAAGGACGCCAAGGCACCTCTCAACTCGACTGGTCCAAGTGTGTGTCGCGGTTGCCAGCAAGGAAAGATGGTCCAAAAACCATTCCCAACCAACCGTGACAAACGCCAATATGGTATGTTCGAGTTGCTGCACTTCGACATCTGCGGGCCAATGGAACAAGTCTCGATCGGCGGCAGCAAATACTTACTGCTTGTGGTTGACGAAGCTAGCGGTTGCATGAAGGGCTTCTGTCTGCGGTCCAAGTCTGAGAGTGAAGACTGTATCAAGAACCACATCATCAAGATTCAAACACAGTTCGGCACGAAGATCAAGTTTGTTCGGCACGATGGAGCGCATGAATTTGCGACCAACTCGATCAAGACCTTCTACGAAGATCATGGTATCGAACAACAGATCACGGTGCCGTATGCACACCAGACCAACGGCACCGCAGAACGCGCGATAAGGACCATCGTCACGATCGGACGCAGCTTGTTGCATCATGCAAAGCTGGAGAAGTGTTTCTGGGCTGAAGCGGCAATGACGGCGATCTACATCAAGAACCGCCTGCCTTCACCCAAGATCGACCACAAGACTCCGTTCGAGATCGTGTACAAGTCGAAACCAAGTGTCAAGCACATGCGCGTGTTTGGATGTCGGGCGTTTATCCTGACACCAAGGGAGAAGCGATTGAAGTGGGATGCCAAGGCTCGTGCAGGTGTGTTCATGGGATACGAAGAAGTTTCAAAAGCGTATCGAGTTTACGACATTGAGGCGGAACAAGTGGTGATCAGTCGTGACATCACCTTCGACGAATCGACTTTTGACTTTTTGATGGACCGACCAAGTGACGATGATGAAGATGCGGAGTTGGATCTCGACCTCCTGGCGATCAACGAGGACGACGTGCGTCAAACAGTCTACAAGCAGACTGGCAAGCGCAAGAGTGAAGCAAGACCCGGCATGTCACGTTCAGCTCGCCCTCGAACTGGATTGGAACAAGCAAGTGCGCCGGCACACGTCTCCAACCGTCACCAGAAACGACGATCAAGTGCTCCAGAAACGATGTCTGATGACGAAGAAGATGCAAGCGTCTACGATCAAGATGACGACTTGACGCCTCCAACATTTTGGCGTGCAAGTGCAAACGCAGTGGAAGCAACGGACCTAGCAGAACCTGTGACTTTTCAAGACGCGATCAATGGTCCTGATCAAACTCACTGGCGAAATGCTGTGAAGGCGGAACTCAAGTCGATGCATCTTCGTGGAGTTTTCCGTGCGGCAAAACTACCAAGAGGCCAAGGCGCGATCGGTACCAAGTGGGTGTTCAAGATCAAGCGCAAAGCGGATGGATCGGTCGAGAAATACAAGGCGCGTCTCGTTGCCAAGGGCTTCAAGCAGAAGTACGGCATCGACTACACAGAGACGTTCTCGCCCGTGGTCAAGTACGTGACACTGCGTATGGTGATCGCGATCACCAAGTATTTCGACTGGCCACTGGACCAACTCGATGTGGTGACAGCCTTTCTCTACGGAGTGATGAAGGAGAAGGTGTACTGCGTGGTACCAGAAGGCGTCGAGATGGATGGCGACTTCGACTGTCTCGAGTTGGTGAAGGCGATCTACGGTCTCAAGCAAGCTTCACGTGTGTGGAACGAGACTTTCGATGAGTTCGTATGCTCTATCGGTTTCGAAGCGTCGGCGTTCGACCCATGTCTCTACATCAAGGTTGTCGATGGTCACTGTGTGCTCGTGCTGGTCTACGTGGATGACGTGTTGGTCACCGGCAGCTCGCTCGAGTTGATTGCGCAGACGAAGGCCGACCTCAAGACGCGTTTCGAGATGACCGACAGTGGCAAGTGTACTTTTGTACTGGGCATCGAACTGGTGGACGAATCGGATGGCAGCGTGACGATGTGCCAGCGACGGTATGTCAACGACATCCTCAAGCGCTTCGGCATGGATGAGTGCAAGGCCACATCAAGTCCGGTCGACTTGAGCACTCGGCTTGTCGCAAGCACCGAAGCAGCCAAGATCGACGTTCCGTTTCGTGAAGCTGTGGGAGCTTTGATGCACTTGACGACTGCGACGCGCCCGGACATTGCGTATGCTGTGGGGTACGTCTCGCGCTTCATGGAGAATCCGCAGCAAGAACATTGGACGGCGGTGAAGCGCATCTTTCGTTACTTGCAAGGGACCAAGTCGCACGGACTCCGATTCCAGCCAAGCGATAAGATCGACTTTCGTGGCTACTCGGACGCGGACTGGGCCGGCGACCACGCTGATCGCAAGTCGACTTCGGGTTACACTTTCATGCTGATGGGTGCTCCTGTGAGTTGGGGAAGCAAGAAGCAGTCAAGTGTGTCGCTGTCGACGAGTGAAGCGGAATACATCGCACTGAGTCTGGCCATCCAGGAAGGCAAGTGGGTGCATCGCCTGCTATGCGAGATTTTGGCGGCCGCAAACGAACCAGGACCGGACCTCGTCATCCGTGAAGACAACCAGTCGTGCATCAAGATGACGAAGAATCCGGTGAATCATGGCCGCGCCAAGCACATCGACATCAAGTACCATCACATCCGTGATGAGGTCAAGCGCGGGGAAGTGCAGCTCGAGTATTGCGAGACTTCCGTGATGATGGCGGACATCATGACCAAGGGACTTTCGGGACCTCGTCACAAGGACTTGACGACGGCTCTCGGCATTCGTGCGAGTTCGGATTGAGGGGGCGTGTTGACGGTCATCGGTTTCTACCAGTATTGGTAACCGTGACCGGTCCAATCCGAACCGCCTGTTCAGCTTAGTATTTACGACGTAGTTCTTACGGTAATTACCATAGTTGATTAGACGCGTAGGATGATGAGACGCTTCACATGATTTATATGTGCACCACATATAAATCATGTAGTAAGTAGTAAGCCCCGATAATCAATCACTTTCCAATCTTCCATCTACCCCAAGTGTCTTCTCCGGTCTTCCGAGTGGACTCTCAGCATCCCTCCCAGTTTCGGTCGTCAAGCTCTTCATAATTCAACAATGACCAAGCCGACCGCCGCTGTACAATTTGAAAACATTCGCGATCGACTTGGGATCCAAGGTGCCGCAGCTAACGAGTCGAGAGGGAGTGTTGAAAAGACAGCGGCTGTGAAGAAGACACCTCGTCAAGCTGCGTCAAGTGTTGAAGCAAGTAGAAGACCAAGCTTCGCTATACCGGTGGGTACCGGTATGTACCAGTAAGGGCGAAGTCAGGAAATGACGTCATTGGATGACGTCAGTGGGTGACGTCACTGGATGACGTCATTGCATGACGTCAGTGGGTGACGTCACTGGATGACGTCACTGCGAATAATAGGCTTAGAGGTAGTATTCAAAGTTGCGAACTAAGTACCTATTATAAATATATATTCACTTTGCGTTTTGCACTCGGACCAAGAAGTCTAAAGTTCATCATAGTCAACTCCGAATTTCTGTGAGAATCCTTTGGCCACAAGTCTTGCCTTGAAACGTTCAACTTCGCCATCTTGATTCTCCTTTACACGAAAAACCCATCGGCACCCGATGGCCTTGCGACCTTTCGGAAGAGGCACGATTTCCCACGTGTCGTTTCTCTGAAGCGAATCGAACTCCGAGTCACACGCTTCTTTCCACTTGCCGGAGTCGCTTGATTCCATCGCCGACTTGAATGTAGTCGGCGTTTCCCCACTGAATCAACGATGTAGGCTGCTTCAAAATCCATTGCAGCCGCTGACACATGCTCAAGCGACGGACCTCTGTATGTTCTTCGCTTGGGACTTGGAATGACGGTAGCTTTCTCAAGTGATTGAGTGCGCGTGTGTCTCTTGATGTTGCTCTTCGAAGACCTGGTGTCTTCGTTGTCATCGTCGCTCGAGTCCATGTCGTCGTCAGTTTTACCTTCTTCTTTTTCTTCGTCCTCATCATGATCATCAAACTCAACGACACTTGACTCATCGTTGTAGTTGCGCGGACCTTCATCAAACTTGTCTTCCATGAATGTGGCATCGCGACTGATCTTGATCGCTCCTGTTGACACTTCCTCAAATCGATATGACTTCTGGTGTTCGGCGTATCCCAGGAAACGACAGAGTGATGACTTGGAGTCGAACTTCGCGCGTTTGTCTTGAGGCACTTGAACATACGCGTGGCATCCAAACACTTTAAGGTTGGCCAGAATCGGTTTCTTCATCGTCCACACTTGATATGGAGACTTGTCTTGGTGAATGGCACGTGTTGGACAGCGGTTTCGAAGAAACATCGCCGTCATCACTGCTTCACCCCAGTAGCTCTTTCCCAGTCCAGCGTGTTCCATCATGCAACGCGACACACTCGACCAGCGTGCGATTCATTCTCTCAGCTACTCCGTTTAGCTGAGGAGTATATGGAGGTGTGAACCTTTGTTGTATTCCCCGTTCCGCGCAGAATCGTGCCAGCTTGTCGGACTTGTATTCACCCCCATTGTCGCTTTGAAGGTACTTCACGCGCTTTCCGGTTTGCGTTTCGGCCATCGCAGCGTATTCCATGAACTTCGCCGCAACTTCAGATTTGCTCTTGAGCAGATAGACGACACAATATCTTGACTTGTCATCAATGAATGTCACGAAGTACCGTTTTCCACTGAAAGTTGCCATCGACATCGGTCCGCATACGTCGCTGTGAATCACTTCGAGGAGTTTGGAGGTGCGAGCTGTAGTGTTTGATTGGAAGCGCACTCGAGTCTGTTTTCCCCAGAGCACAACCTTCACACACGTCCCACTTCTTCACCGAAGATATGTCGATGCCAATTCCAATGTTCTTCGTCACGATGCAATTGAGTCCATCGTGACCTATGTGGCCAAGCCGAAGGTGCCAGAGGTACGACTTGGTGCCCCCTTGACATCCCGACGACTTGGCTGCATTTGCTTGTTCCGGCGCCACTGGAGTCATTTGCAGCTTGAACAGTCCTTTACCTTCACGGGCACCAATTTTCCACTTGGTCCCTTTCGCTTCTCCATAGCACCCATCCTTCGTGAACGTCACTGGGCCGACATCCTTGGTGAAGCGGCCGACCGAGAACAGGTTTCTGGATAACTTTGGGATGTGCCACACGTTTGTGAGCACACCTTTCTTCATCCCTTGGGGTGTCTTCATCGACATGACAATGTCCCCACTGCCGATTGCTTGGACGATTCCATCATCCGCGAGATGGACATCCACAGCGTCAAACCCCTTGTAGTTCCGCATGAACTTCTTGGAGCACGTCATGTGCTGCGTCGCCCCGGAGTCGACCAGCCAGATGTCGCTCGATTTCGCAGATGTCGTTTCACCGATCGAAAGAGGTAGTCGCCCGAGTCTTCTTCTTGAGCGACGTTTGCACGTTGTGATCGATAGCGGTCGCCGCTGTCTTGAGAGCACGCTGTGGCCGGTGTCTCTCCGTGTTTTCTTGGATGCGCGAGGGGCACTCCGCCATCCAGTGACCAATCTTTCCGCAATTGTGGCACGGCCAGGACTTCTTCACTGGTCGCCCTTTGCGCTGATTGTCCCCTTGTGATGAACGCTTGACCTTGCGAAGCTTCATCACCTTTACTTCCTTGCTCCTTCCGCTTCATTTCTTCATGAAGCAGTCGAGACGTCACGAGCTCCCAGCTAAGAGTGTCTGAGCGCGACTCCAAAGCTGTGATCAAGAATTGATACGAGTCACTCAGGCTGCCGAGGAGTGTGATCACCAGATCGTCCTCGCAGACTGGAGCCCCCACCGCTTCTAGCTGTTCCGCCAGCGTCTTGAGCTTGTTGATGTGTTCGAGCACATCGTCGCCTTCTTCCATCATTGTCGTGAATAAGCGACGGCGCAAGAACAGCTTGTTGGCAATACTCTTCTTCTCGAAGTGGTCTTCCAACCTTGACCATGCGTCGCATGCACCACTTGCCGACCGGACCAACGGTAGCTGGGAATCTTCCATGGCTAGACAGATCACTGCCATCGCCTTTCTTGACTTCCTCTTGTACGTCGCTTGGTCCAACTGAGTCTCGCACTGTTCCGCCTTGATCTCACCGCTGACGACCTCCCATAGGTCCCGTTCCTCCAGCACCATCTGCATCTTGAACTTCCAGGCGTGGAAGTTAGTTCCATCGAACTTGGAGATGCGGAGGGAGGGAGGCGTCCATGGCAGCTAAGCTTGAATTGTTGGCGGTTTCAGAGTCTGACGAACTTGGGCTCATAACCTGATGAACTTTAGACTTCTTGGTCCGAGTGCAAAACGCAAAGTGAATATATATTTATAATAGGTACTTAGTTCGCAACTTTGAATACTACCTCTAAGCCTATTATTCGCAGTGACGTCATCCAGTGACGTCATTTCCTGACTTCGCCCTTACTGGTACATACCGGTACCCACCGGTATAGCGAAGCTTGGTCTTCCACTTGCTTCAACACTTGACGCAGCTTGACGAGGTGTCTTCTTCACAGCCGCTGTCTTTTCAACAAGCCCTTCTTGACCGGTGTCGCGGTCTCCCTTCGTTGCATGTTGGGTACCGATCTCATGACCGTTCTCCATCCGCGATAGTTCGGCTCCCCAGACCGTTACTTCCCTCGCAACTACAGCATCTGCCTTTTGCGAATCGTCATCGTTAGCTTGCGGCGTTACCGTGGAGATCGCCGGAGACAGGTTCTGTAACGCATCAGACGGACGTTTCAAGATGCGTTTGGGAGCGGCATGATGAACTTTAGACTTCTTGGTCCGAGTGCAAAACGCAAAGTGAATATATATTTATAATAGGTACTTAGTTCGCAACTTTGAATACTACCTCTAAGCCTATTATTCGCAGTGACGTCATCCAGTGACGTCACCCACTGACGTCACCCACTGACGTCATGCAATGACGTCATCCAGTGACGTCATTTCCTGACTTCGCCCTTACTGGTACATACCGGTACCCACCGGTATAGCGAAGCTTGGTCTTCCACTTGCTTCAACACTTGACGCAGCTTGACGAGGTGTCTTCTTCACAGCCGCTGTCTTTTCAACACTCCCTCTCGACTCGTTAGCTGCGGCACCATGGATCCCAAGTCGATCGCGAATGTTTTCAAATTGTACAGCGGCGATCGGCTTGGTCATCATGTCTGCCAGCATATCTTGAGTCGGGCAATACTCCAAAACGACTTCACCTGATTCCACCTTCTCACGCACAAAATGGTAGCGTATGTCGATGTGTTTTGTTCTCTTATGGAACTCCGGGTTCTTGGCGAGAGCGATTGATCCTTGGTTGTCTTCATACATCTTGATCGCTTCGTCGCTTGTCATCTCACCAAGTTCCCCCAAAAGCACCTTGAGCCATACTGCTTCTTTGGTTGCTTCCGGAAAGCGCCATGTATTCTGCTTCTGTTGAAGATAGCGCGACCGTCCGTTGTTTCTGGCTTTTCCAGCTGATGCATCCTCCGCTCATCATGAACACATAGCCGCTTGTACTTCGTCTTGACTCAATGTCGCCGGCCCAGTCTGCGTCGGTGTACCCGCAGATACGGCTTCCCTTCTTCACGTGTAAACTCAAGACCATGATTGGGCGTTGCTTGCAGGTATCTCAGCACACGCTTCAAAGCTTGCCAGTGAGTCGGGCATGGGTCGGACGAGAACTGGGA